TTGGGGAAGCGTTTATGCTCTGCACAATTTTTTTTCTCGTCGGTGTAAGAAAAACACGTTTGTCCGATCTTTAGGTTATTTGTCGACTGTATTTTAAGTGTAAGTGGTGAATATGTTTTTGTTTGTTCTGGTTCCGGAGTCAGAGGCTAGATACACTTCTTGTGTGAACACCCAACGTACATGAAGTCATTACAAATGATGAAGTACGAAAAGTAGTGACCTTGCGCATAACAGAATCTAAATGTTTATTTAAACTTAGGTCAGTTCTTCCAAAGGCTTGAAACAGAAGCCGGTTTTATAAAAATCAGCCACCTCAAAGTGGCACCGAGCGAAAAGATCTTTGAATCAGTTTCAATAGATCCTTTTAAAAATATGGGAAATAAAATATTAAAATCTTTAAAAGTAGCGCTACTCCAGCCGGTGACCCAAATAAACGATGAAAAAGAGATACAACAAATACTGTCTACATACCATGAAGACCCAATTCAAAGACGTCATAGTGGCATAACAAGAACGCTAGCGAAAGTAAAAAGACACTACTACTAGAAAAATATAACACGTCATATAAAAAGAATACGTACTTAGATGTCAAAAATGCCAAATGTCTAAAACAAAGACACACACAAAAACTCCTTTGACTCTCACAGAAACACCTGTGAATGCTTTCGATATAGTGATAGTGGATACATTTGGTCCGCTACTTAAATCGGAAAATAGCAATGAATACATAGTCACATTAATATGTGACCTTACAAAATATTTAGTAGCCATTCCAATAAAAAGCAAAAGCGCAAATAATATCGCAAAAGCTATATTCGAAAATTTCAGACTCAAGTTTGGTCCAATGAAATCCTTCATCTCGGACATGGGAACAGAGTATAAAAACCAGATATTAACTGATTTATGCAAGTATATGAAGACCAAGAATCTCACCTCACCTGCATATCATCATCAAACATTAGGGACAATAGAACGAAGTCATCGAATATTTAATGAATTCATTCGTTCATACATCTCTGCAGACAAAACTGATTGGATGTCTGGACTCAATATTTCACATATTGCTTCAACACGACACCATCAGCAACGCATGAGTATTGTCCATACGAACTAGTATTTGGCAGACTACCAAAACAGTTCATAGATTAAAATAAAACTAATTACATAGATCCTATTTATAATCTAGATGACTACTCTAAGGAAATAAAGTTTCGATTAGAAATAGCATACAAAAGGGCTAGAATTATGTTAGAAAAAGCAAAGGATTATAGGAAATTAGCATATGATGAAAAAACCAAAAAATGTTCAAATAAAAGTAGGAGATAAAGTACTTAGAAGAAATGAAACAGGGCACAAAATAGACCCAGTATATTTAGGACCAAATATAGTAGAAAAAATAGAAGATAATGACAACATTTTTATTAAAGATAGTAAAGATAAGAAACAAAAAGTACATAAGGATAGGCTAAAGAAATATACTCAATTAAACGTTTCATGAAGAAAAAAAGGCGTCTGATCAAAAAACACAAGAAAAAACAATTTTTTTTTTCTTCTAAGAAAATTTAAAATTATACAAAACGTAAATTCAAATATATTAAAAATAAAAATTTGTCAATGAACACAAATGTTAAAGAAAATGATATAAAACCTCTTTAATTCATAACAGACACACAAAAAAGCAAGTAAGAGGTTCTAGTCGGGAGCTCCCGACTAGAAGATACCCTGAAACATCTTCTTCCAACATCAAATGCATATATATATTCTACTTTAGAAGCTATATGTTAAGTTTGGAGAATCTAGCTCTTATTATTTACCAAAATTGCCCAAAAAACAAAATATCGATATCGATTTTTATCGATTGATTGGAAATGGAGTAAGTTATCGATTATCGGAAACAAACTCGATCTGCGCGGGAACTACATCTACATCTAAAATTTCAAGTTTCTAGCTCTTATAGGTTCTGAGATCCTTGCATTCATACATACGGACGGACAGACAGGCGGACATGGCTAGATCGACTCGGCTATTGGTGCTGATCAAGAATATATATACTTTATGGGGTCGGAGATGCTTCCTTCTGCCTGTTACATACATTTGGATTTTGCACAATACAATATAATATTATACCCATTTTTAATGGGTATATCCAATTGAAGGAGGTAATACAGGCATGACTAAAACGCTAGCGAAAATCAAAAACCACTACTATTGGAAAAATATGACGCTCCAAATAAAAGAGTACATACGTAGATGTCCTAAATGCCAAAAGTCAAAAACAAGAGCACATACAAAAACACCTCAGAAAATTACAGAAACCCCTATAAGTGCGTTCGACAGAGTGATAGTGGATACTATAAGTCCGCTACCAAAATCTGAAAGTGGTAACGTATATGCAATCACATTGATATGTGATTTAGCAAAATATTTTGTTGCTTTCCAGTATGAATCTGATAATACCGTAGCAAAAGCTGCAATGTGCCATCAATGGCACATGATTATTGTCCGTATGAGTTAATTTTTAGTGGAAACCCATATATGCCAAATTATTTAAAGAGTATAGATGGACGCATGAATGTGTATGTGTACATGTATGCAGAAATTCTTGAAGTTTCGTTAGCTGTGCCATCCAATACCGCATCTCTCTCTCTCTCTCTCTCTCTCTCTCTCTCTCTCTCTCTCTCTCTCTCTCTCTCTGCTCTCGCGCTTCCATTATCTTTTCCCTTCCTTTTGGTGCTATCGAAGAAAACAACCTTCGTTTTCACACTGCGCTTAAAGAAAATTATTGTTGGCGTTCAACAAGCAGTACACTGCTTGCTGTTTCTGTACTCTTTCCAGTTCTTCGTACTGACAGTTCTTAACATCCACCCTAGATAGATTTCTTGAAATCATTAATGCATATTTTTGCTTGATTTTCAATATCAATTTGACTCTAAACTTACTGCTTAAGTTACTGATTCTAAATCCCTCCAAACTGTTTAAAGATTGTTTAAGTATGATTTTGTGTTCGGCTCTGTAACCGTTAAGTCATCTTCACAAACAAATACATACATAAGCATTTCCACCCTACAGGCGTTCTTACTTACAAGACACATATGTATGCACTCCATTACACATATATATTATAAATCTCGTCTATACTAATCAAAAATTTATTAATTGTAAGTTTATAGTCAGCACAAACCCGAATGTCACCGTTGGGCTTCATTGAATTTATTAGTGGTTTGACCCACTCTCATAAGAACGATCAGAACAAGAACAAGCGCTGCTTGGGAGCTTCGTTGCCCAAAGTGGCCTTAGTCGCAACTTAAGACTCCTTGATAAGTGCTTTTCGCTACGCTTGCTTCATGTGAGCTTCTCACTCTAAAGTTTAACTTCGGCAGAGTAAAATGCGTATTTAGAACGCTACAAAGTTTCTCTTTTTTTTAAGGGTTGATAGCAATTTTGGGCTAGATACAAAGGTAATATGCTTTATCCCCAACTGACAATTGCACAAATCGAATATCCAACTGTTTCTTCCAAAGTTGCAATGAACAGATGTGTGGGGCGAATCGGATCACTATATCATATAGCTGCCATAGGAACGATCGGTCGAAAATTAAGTTGTATGAAAAACATTTTTTTTTATCATGATATCTTGACCAAACTCGGAATTTAGTAGGTTTACTATGCTCCTCATATATATGCAAAATCCTATTAAGATCGGACCACTATATCATATAGCTGCCATATTAATGCAAAATCCTATCAACATCGGACCACTATATCATATAGCTGCCATAGGAACGATCGGTCGAAAATTAAGTTGTTGTATGCAAAACTTTTTTGCCATTCAAGATATATTGATTAAACACGACATTTAAAGATTTCACCATGCTCCATTAATTTATGCAAAATTTTATTTACATCGGACTACTATATCATATATCTACCATAGGAACGATCTTTGGAAAATTAATTTGTTTTATAAAAAACAATTTTGTTTAGCAAGTTATCTTGACCAAACTCGGCATTTATTAGTTTTACTTTGCTCCTCATATATATGCAAAATCCTATTAAGATCGGACCACTATATCATATAGCTGCCATAGGAACGAAAATTAAGTTGTTGTATTGAAAACTTTTTGTCATTCAAGATATTTTTTTTCATTAATCACGGCATTTTTGTAAAATCTTATTTACGTCGGACTTCTATATCATATATCCGCCATAGGAACGATCGGTCGGAAACTAGGTTTTTGATTAAAAACCTTTTTTTAGTATCAAGATATCTTGACCAATCTCGGCATTAACTATTTTCCCTGTGCATCTTAGATACGGGCAAAGCACTAAAAGCATTGTGAAAAGGTTTGGTCTGCCTTTCTTTCTTGTTATACCCTGAACCCATTAAAAATGGGTACAAGGGTATATTGTATTTGTGCAAAATCCAAATGTATGTAACAGGCAGAAGGAAGCATCTCCGACCCCATAAAGTATATATATTCTTGATCAGCATCAATAGCCGAGTCAATCTAGCCATGCCCGTCTGTCTGTCTGTCCGTCCGTCCGTATGTATGAACGCAAGGATCTCAGAACCTATAAGAGCTAGAGCTGAAATTTTAGATGTAGATGCTCCAAGTTCCCGCGAGTTTGTTTCCGATAACCGATAACTTGCTCCGTTTCCAAGCAATTGATAAAAATCGATATCGATATCCTGTTTTTTGGGCAATTTTGGTAAATAATAAGAGCTAGAGTCACCAAACTTCACATATAGCTTCTAAAATAGAATATATATATGCATTTGATATTGGAAGAAGAGGGTTCAGGGTATACCCTAGTCGGGAGCTCCCGACTAGAACCTCTTACTAGTTATTACTACTGCAGCAATAGAGCGCGTAGCGTGAGCTGCATTTGGTGTTGGCATAAGAGGGTTCAGGGAACCCCCTAGTCGGGAGCTCCCGACTTGAACATATTACTTGCTTAGTAATTCAGAGAATATAATTTTTTCTTCTTATTTTAAATAGTGTGGATATGCGTGCTGGACTGTCAAAAGCTCCAAGACGATGGTCCGACGATGTGATCTTTGGGGAAAGAGCGTTTTTTTCTTTCGAAAATGAGCCTGGAAAACTTTCCATTGAAAGCGTCCATGCTAATGACTCTGGAATTTATAGGTGTCGAGTGGATTTCTTAAGGGCACAAACGTATAACACCCGCATAATGCTTAATGTGATTAGTAAGTGTAACAATATTTTCTTCTGAAACAAAGTTCTTAAACTTTCAAATGTAATATTATTCTTTTATAGCCTCTGTCCACTGAACACATTTCTTACACATTTTTGAAAATGTCATATTTTTGCAAAATGTGTAAAATGCGGCCTGTGCGTTTTCCCGTAAGAAAACACATTTCACACATTTTTCAAAAATGTCGCATATTTGTAAAATGTGTAAATTTGCCCCGAACATTTCGGGTTTTTTGCAGTGATTAATCGAGATTTCTATTGATGTTGTGAAAAATGTGAAAGTATCATACCCATAAACATCTGATATATCAACGAAGACATGCGGCAACTTTAAAAAAAAAATTTAAAATTGTACTAATTCCATAGTTTTTAGCACTTAAACATGGCGAAATATTGAAAAGAGTATGTAAAATGGAGCCCTTACTTCGAGATCGCATTTTTTGAGTTTTGGAAGAAAAACTTTGCGGCGCTTATGTAAATTAAAGTCGACCAGCTGTTTATTTAAAGAAGCGGTACTTTTTCCACTCACATGTTACCGACAACCAGTGGGGCACCAATAAGTGAAATTTGAAAATGTGACATTTCTTTAGCCAGTGAACAGAGGCCATTACACTTAAAACATGTCATGATATAACTGAACATTTTTCATTCGCGTGTAATCGTTTCGGTATACATCTTAAAAGCCCACAAACTATTCTATAAATGTTCATACAAAATTAATCTTATGTTTCAAGCTTTAAGTCTTATACTTTAATAAAAAAAATTAAATAAACCTGAGATCAAAACTTTATTAGCAAACATTCCTCAAAACAGCTATAAATTGACTAAGATTTTTAGGTGCTTTTGCTAAGATAGCCAAAGTTTTGGCTTAATCCCAGCCACTTTTTGTCTTAAAGCTTGGAAACTTTGGGAAATAAATAAAAAAATTTTAATTAATTAAAACACAAATACGTGTATGTAAAAGTATTTTGTTCAATCTCATAATTTTGAATATTATAAGTTGCCTACAAGCTATCGTAGCCACATCGCATGGCCAATAAATAATGATACCAAATTACACTTATGCTCAGAAGAGTTCAGGTAGGATTATAAGAATCACTTATTTCGAGATCGACCAAGGATTCAGAGATATGGCCTTCGTTTTAGGCACGTCCGCCATGTGGGTCTGGCAAGTAAACTTGCACAACTCGGCGGCCTCTGTACTGGTAGGAAGTGGTAGAAATTCCAAATGATGTCAACATTAAATCCTATGTCAAAATCTGTGCACCAACATTTATTTATTTATTTATAACGGTCGACAAAACGAGTGTATTCCTCAGTATGCAGTAGATTATACATACATAATGAAAATTAAATGCTAGTTAGAGTACACAATTTTCTAATAGCACAACCGACCGATGGAGTTGTTTTATTTGCCAGTCCGGCCAGCTGTGGCCCTTTTCACGGCTAATTTTGTAAATGACGCTATTAGAGCCTACAGCTAAGAAGAAGGGTGTTAGTATAGAAAAACGAGTTCTTAAGTAAAATTAAAAATAATCTTAATTTGCTAAATTATTTAAGAAGTTTCACATCGATCGAGATCATTTATAAAAAGAGTAAAGAGTAAAGGTCGAAGATGAGATTACCTTAAGGAACACCAGAAGTAACGTGAACCTGTTTAGAGGAACTCAGCCTCAGAATTTATCTTTGGGTCCTACCTTTTAAATAAGAATTAATCCGAAGCAAAAGAGACTGAGGGATACCTATTCGATCAAGTTTAAAAAGTAAAATGTCATGGTGCACAGAGTTAAACGCTTTACTGCACGCTTTCATTGTAAATGACATCAATTTGCATTTTAGAAAGAAAAGCATCATTTACCAAAGAAGTAAAAACAATCAGATTGCTCGTAGTTGACCGATTTTCTGATTTGCAGAAATGCTGCAAATTCAAAGTGATATTTTTTCAAATAATTTAGGAATAGGGGATAATTTTGCATATCAGACTTTGCACCTTTCTTGTGGAGAGTAAATATAAGATTCTTTCCAAAGAGATGGAAAAACAGAAGTTTCAAGGGATAGATTAAAAAGCTTAAGCAATGGATAAAGAAGGGAGGAACTGCACTCCTTGAGTAGACAGCTAGGAATATTGTCAGCCCCAGGAGAGTAAGAAGATTTTAAAGAGTTTATAGCTTAAAGGAGAGAGGAGTGTGAAATAATGTGAGGAGGTATAGAACTATAGGAAGAAATAGTATAAGGGTAAAAATTAGTATAAGGACATACTGGAAAAAATTAGCAAAGAGGTAAGCAGAATCAGAGTCATTGCTAGCTTTATCCATCCCGAGAGAAAAAGAAGATTTACGCTTCAATTTTGGAAAATTGTAAAACTGTCTATAAGAAAGACCAGTCGGTTGCATAAATAAGATGATTCAGCAATGAATAATTTCCTTTGCGAAAGCAACACGAGACTTTTTTGAAGAGCACGAAATAAGAGGATTACAATTGAACATTGCAACCTCTAAAGTAGAATGATATACATCCTCAGGAAGAGATAAAGGAGAGGACCTAGACACACTAGAAATAAGGTAGTCGTAAATAAATACAAGGTCAAGTGTTCTATTCAAATGATTATAAATTTGAATTTATTTGAAAGAACGAAAGATCCAGCATGCAATCTACTAGATCATGCTGTGCGTAGGGCACTAGATAATTTTCGGCAGTGGATAATGACCAAGAGATGTTCGGCAAGTTAAAATCACCCAACACCATAAATATGTCATTATCACGCACGTGAAGAAACTTCTTTAATGCAAGTAATATGTTTCATATTAACTTGAATATCAGAAGACGGAGGAACATAAGTGCATGTAATATAGATATTCCGTATAGGAAAAGTACCTTAACTGAGACAATCTCAGCGTCAGTAGGCGTACTGAAACAGAAAAGTTCTGTTTGGAGACTGGCTTTAACGTCAATTAACAAATAAAATTGTTCGAAAAAACCTCAAAATCAGATATGGTTGCATTTATCCATGTTTCTGAAAATACGATTATATCCGAATCGAAGGAAGTGCTGGCCATGAAAAGATTGTTAAGAGACTTGATAAGAAGACGAAGTTAGTTTTTTGGGGCAGAAATGGTACCCTGTATTGAAGGGATTGTGATTGATTGTGACGGGCTGGTAACGCTTTTTATACCCTGAACCCATTAAAAATGAGTAACAAGGGTAGAATATTTTTGTGCAAATGTAAATGTATGGAACAGGCAGAAGGCACCATCTCCGAACGCATAAAGTATTTAAATTCTTGATCAGCATCAATAGCCGAGTCGATCTATCCATGTCCGTCCGTATGTATAAACGCAAGGATCTTAGAACCTATGCGAGCTAGAGAGTTGAAATTTTAAATGTAGGAGCTCCTAGTGCCTGCGCAGATCGAGTTTATTTCCGATAACGTTGCGTATGACATTTTTACAGACTGCTAACTTGAAAATATAAGAAAAAGTAATTCCACTGTTTGCGATCACGCCCCCGTCATCCGAACGTACTTATTGCCAATGACTGCATTAAAAATTATAAATGAAAGTAAATCCACCTGTTCCGATGAAACTCGCGGCCCTGTTACCAGAACAAATTTATTTTAGCTGTTGTGCGATCGCGTTCAATATCTTTTTAGTAAGTGCTGTTGTTGCTGCTGTCGAAGCTGCTAATTAGTTTTATTGTCTGTTCATCTATGTTTATTTCTTGTGTATTTGTATTGCTTCGGCCATAGGCGGGTATTCTCAGGGACGGCGCCCAGAAGGAAGCAGCATACAGTATCGACCTGACCACACAGGTGATCAGACACCTGCTTTTCTGGCACGGGTCCGCATTTTCCAACTTCCTGGCTACTGCACTCCCGGCTTTCGACGCCTTTCCTCTGATGAATTCCAGATGGTGCTTAAAAGTAAGCCGGTAGTCAAGCTTTAATTGTATGGGACAGTTGTCGACGCATATTGTGGCAGTCTCCACTACCTTACGGCTGCTGACCAGTACTGCGTCCGTCTAATAGGCAGCCAGTGTTAAGTCATTGGTCGCGAGCCAGTTCACCACCTGGCGGATAGCGGTGTTCCTTTTCTCCTCGACCGCAGGCAGTTCCTTGCTGACCGTAACCACCGCTATGCCAACCGCAAAGAAAATAATGCGATTGCCCGCAGGGTTGTCGAAGCGGAGAACCGCGTCGTACATCGCATTCCACAATGTAGGTTGTGGAACGCCGCCAGTTATCGTGTGCTGCTGCTGTCATGCAGAGGTGTCATAGAGAAGTACACGGTTGGAGAAGTAGTCCGTAATCAGGCTTATTAGGTAATCCGATATCTGGAGTCCCTGAAGTGCGGGTATAATTCTCATGCAGCTAGCTGAGTTAATTAGTGCTACGTTCTATCCGGAATCCAAGCTGATGCTCAGACAGCCCTTGCCGTTCTTCCAATTCGTCGTGCAGTCTGTTACAAATTATCGTCTCGATCAGTTTGCCAACCACGCACGCCACGCTTCAGCGCTTTTGTTGGAACCCCGTCTGGTTCTGGTGCCTTATTTGGTTGTATCCGAGCCAGGGCCTGTAGCACCTCCTCCGCGTCCGTCCATTTTACCGTGTACGTTGCAGAGTACGTGGTGGCTATGTGCAGCGTTGGTTGCGAGGGGAAGAGCGTGTTGACGATTGCTCCTAGCTGCACATTCTTCCCATGACCAATCTGTAGGCTGCTCCAATGAGTTGCACGTCGGCTTCAGGGCATAAGCTCTTCCACGCGGCGTCCTTGCTGCGATTTATGGCCTTCTTAAGTGCAGCCCTATTCGCTCTGTAGTCTTCCTGCATTTCCTGGCATTCTCTCCTGGCCCTTTCTATTTCCAGGTTCCAGCAGTGAACAGGTCTGCGCCCGTTTATCCGCCTTCTCTTTTTAAGCATGGCTGCGTTGCTATATGGCTTGCACAGTGGTTGGTATATCCACTGGCCGGGAGTTGCATGTTCTCGACCTTTATCAAC